CCGGTACGTTTCCTAATCCATTCTCTATTTATTCTAACAATTACACTCTGCCTTAGGTATCCCATCAATACCAACCTTGGTCAAATACTTCCAAACATCAAATGTTATAGTTCTCGACTTTGAGCTTTAACTCACTTGTCTCTTCAAGTGATGCCTTATTTTCTGTTATATCGTCGCTCATGGTTATAGGATCACTAGTCATATTGATTTTTTACTTTTAGTTATTTTGTAGTTGCGAGTAAGACATATTGCCATCAAAGATATACTAAACCAGTTAAATAAAGTAATATAAATTCATTATGATATAAAACTATTGCATATTAATATATTACATTTTTGTTTAAACTACTAAACTTTCTCCATCTTGACTTTTAATTTATAAAAGTTATAAATATGTAATCAACTAATTATAAACTAGAGACAGAGCATGAGACAATGAGAATCATCCCAAATTCAAGGATCCTACAATAACAAACTTTGGGCACTTTAAGAGTTTGAGATGAACAGAGCAAGAATGAGAGTAGAGTTGACTGAGAATTAAAACTAATAGATCATGTGTGGGAGTGAAACATGAATATGTGTGAGAGGGTAAACTATTAATAGAATATAGGATATGAATAATTAAGGTTCTGTCTATATAATATTTAGGATATCTTATTAAAATTATTTAAATAAGGATATTTGGAATATCTGTCAAATTAATTATGATTTATTTAGTATGTTATCTTTATCTTTTTTAAGATTGTTTTAAATAAAATATGATATCTAAAATTAGCCAACTCTTCCTATCATTATCTTCTTTATTAAGTTAGATTTAGATTTGAATTAGAATTTAAATTATTATTATTTATTATTTTCTAAGATCTGAAGTAGCTAGTTATTTAAATAATTTATTTATTTTTAGAAAAAAAATAAACAAGCTTAAAAAGGTGTTTTTTTTTAATCTTTGAGCCCTATGAAGCTAGCCCTTTTAAATCCAATTTCCTTTTGAATATCTTAAAATGCAAGCTTGACCCTCTATTTAAATAGGCTTAAAAGCCGGCTCAATGGGCTTAACCCATTTTGACGACTCTAACAATAAGAGCAAAAGTTTCTTCATAATGCACCCAGTAAGTTTAAGTATATTTCTTTGCCACCAACCTTGTTTTGTGTTTGATAGTGAATAACCATCTACATCCCACTTTCTTGTGGCCTTTAGGTAGATTAGTTACTTCCCAGGTGTTATTCTTCTCTTATCTCCATTTAAGATCAATAATAGCTTTTTGAAAAGTGCTTGGAACCTTTTCCTCAACAATATTAGCAATAAAGGTCCTTGAATTAGGAGATAGCTTCTCATAAGATACATATTTACAAATAGGGTATTGAGTACATGTTTTCTTACCTTTCCTCAAAGCAATAGGTAAATCAATTTCATTTGTTTCAAGACTTTTCTCGGTTTCAGACTCTTGGTTCTACATAAGTGTTAAGTCATCTCTACCACCTTGCTCTCTTACATTTGTGCCCTTATTTTTCCTGGTATAGAGTGGTGTCTCCTTGTTCCCTCCCTGCTTCTTTTCATTCTAGTTATATTATCAACACATTGAGGTACCTCATTAGGTTCTATTACAAATATATTTTTACTAGGTTGTGATTCAATTAGAAGACTTGGTGGTGCTCGGATTTTGGGGGTAGGTAAAGGTTTAGGCTCAGGAAATGTAGTAAGAGGAAGGATATGAGAATGGTTGGGAGATATTTGAGCTTTGATGTTTGAAGTTGTGTTGTTCATTGTACCAAAATCATTGTCATTATTACAAATCATCCATTCATTACTCTCATTACACTCCTGCTAAATGGGTAATTTAGAATAGAAGCTTGATTTTTGAGGAGAAAAAAATGTCACATCCATCCTAATATAATATTTGCTAGTAATAAGAAACATACACTTTATGCTTTCGAGAATCCAATTTGTCCCTCCCTTCAATATAAACAAATACAGTGCATCCAAAAATTCTGTGCGAAAGTGAAATAGTAAGATGAGTAGTGGGAAAATAATTTTGAAATTTTTGTAGTATCTTTGAAATTGAAGGATTTTTATGGCATGCTATTGATTAAGTAAGAAAATGTGAGAATAGCCTCCCCCGATAAGTTTATGGCACATTTATAGTAAACATAAGTGATCTAAAAAACTTCTAATAGATGGCAGTTTTTGCATTAGTAATCCCATTTTATTGAAGGGGTTGACACATTATGTTTGGTGATGAATGCTATTGTCAACATGGTAATTTTGAAAAGTGAAGCTAAGATACTCCCTCCATTATCACTCTATAAAATATTGATATTAGTTTGAAATCGATTTTGAATGAAATTGTGAAAATTTTTGAAATAAAAGAAAGTTTCAGATTTGTTGAGCATGAGAAATACCCAAGTTAGATGAGTGTGATCATCAATAAATGTGATGAACCACTATGCTTTAGACAATAAAACAACTTTGCAAGGTCCCCAGATATCACTTTGAATCAAAGGAAATGTATGAGATAGAATATATACAGTTTATGGATAAGGTAAGCATGTATGTTCGGCTAACTAACAGAATTTGCAGCGAAAAGAACTTAATTTATTGTTATGAAAAAGAAGAGGAAACAAGTACTTCATATAACTAAAATTAGGGTTGCCTGACCTATAATGCCATAACACTAAATCATTATTGGAAATAATAAAGTCTTAATAGGCTAACATTGAATGGATGTGCCCTCTAAGCAGTAGAGATCTCCCAACGCTTTAGCATGGCTTATCATCTTCCCTGAAGTCAAGTCCTAAGAAGTACATATTTCATGAGTAAAACGAATATCACAATGGGATTGTTCGGTGGACTTTTTAACAGCTAATAGATTACAAGGGATAGAAGGAACATAGAGGACATTAGACAATACAATGGAATTAGAAATAACCACAGTACTAATATCTAACACTTTGGCATACATATCATTGGCAATCGAAATATATGGTCAGTCCCACCAAAAGCAATAATCCAAAATGTTGTCATTTTCAACAACCTTTCAAAAAGCTACAGTAGAGGAAATACCTACTTGTGCTGAGACAAAAGGAGAATTCTCACTTGATGAAGGCTTCATATTACGTTTGCCAAGAAGTTCTGAAAGAATAGGAAGTTCAACTCACTGCTAAGTGTAATATTGTTGTTGTTCACCAAAAAAAAAAAAAGCCCAACAATCCGTTAAGTAGTACTCTTTTTTATACTAAATATTGAAATTGGTTGAGAAATTAGTTTTAATATTAAATATAAGACTTTTACTCACTTTATCTCTCAAATGTATAACTTTTCTTTAAATTATTCTTATTAATTGCCTATGTAAAAGAAAGTTTCCATTCAATTCTTTTTTTTTTTTTTTTGCTTTGGTCAAAGAAAAGTTTCCATTCAATTCAAATGATTAGATAAAGTATTTTGAAAAAAACCAATGTACATTTTTTTAAAAATAACTAGATAAATTTCTTTTAATATTTATAAATTATTTATTTACCTTTTATATTAGTAGAAAAGTAGTGTGTTATGATTCACCAAAAAGAAATAAAAGAAAGTTTGTGTTTGAATTTTGATTGTTTAAGAAGCATAAGCACCATTTGCAAATAGTAATTACTGTAAGGCATATTGACGCTTTTAACACAGGCTTTTGTGCGTTTATTATTGTTAGGTTTTTGAGCTTGAGCTTCTTTTTCAAGTGGGTGTTTAATTTTTCTTGAGACCTCAAGAAATGATCTCAAATTCCTTATCACAACCAAGATGTTGAAGCATGGCTACTAGATTAAGATATCCTTGCACTAACGAATATATGAATTTGATTCAATAAAATAATTAGAACAGCCTATGTAAAGAATTCTTTACAGTAATTGCGAGATGTTATGGCAGAGAGACATGCTACAAAAAAATGTAAATAAGACCGTACGAAAATCGATTTTATCATAGAACATATGTGTGTCAATTACATATGTTTTATGATCCAGCATCCAGTCACCATTCATTAATTTGAGATTCAGGTCCCATCAAGCCTCAAGTGAAATTAAGTTTGGCATGTTTAGTTCAATTTCATGCATAGAATGCATTGTCTCCAATCCTTAATACAAGGACTAATTGATTAATTTAAATAAATTAAGAAAATTTGTTAAGTTAGTTATTTGTAATAAATAAGTGTTATCTTTCCTAAAATGACCTTGTTAATCTTGTATATTTGCTTGAACTGTAATTTGATAAAATATTAAACATATGCGTTTACTACAAGGACTACCTTAAAAAAATAAATAAATATGAAAAACAGTGAATTGAAGTCTTATATTTAGAAAACCAAATTGAATTTCAAGCTATTTTTTCCATTAATGACTGAAGGTAGTATTGAGTTAGGTGTTTGGTTGGTACAGTTAAATAATCAAATGCAATCCCGAGAACAACATGTTACTATAAATAACATGATACCCATTACATAACTTATAGTCCAAATTCAAGCTTGCCTAAATTAATATGTAGATAATTATACCCTTTATAAATGACATTGACATTTATACCCCTACCTTTTTTGCCATGATAGAGCTAAAAAGATCATTTTACATTTATTTTTGTTTTTGTCTAAATAAAATATAAATTTCATTTCATGATTTCTTGATCACATAATGCTCTATAATCATAATTCGGTTACATTACATTTCATTATATCCCCTATGATTTTTTGAACCGAACAGTCATTGCAGTAATTTTTGTTTTTTATTCACAAAGCTGGAATCCAAAGCCTCACTTAAGTGCCATCAAATAGATTATAATCCGCTTTGATTGTTGGTCAAATACATTTATAATTAACTTAATGTTTATAAATTTAATTTACTTCTAAGCAAACCTTACTCATAATATCAATACTATATACTTTTATCTATTGATCCACTCATAGAGATCTTCTCTCAAAGTAAACCCAAAAAATTTTTTTTTTAAGGGAAAAAAAAAAACAGTACCGTGTTTGCGTAAATTATTCAACATCGCTTCACAAACAAACATTAATGTTGAGACCATTACACAACATATAAGCATTATGTATTCAGAGTAAACATGCAGCATAATTCGTTTACAAGAATAATACTCATTTCAAGGGATTTGTTGAGTAGTAGCAACGGAAAATCTATACTTATATATTCCACTACTATGCTTCATATTTGAGCAAATGAATTCATTTTCCAACACAGGACGAACAACTTGGGATGCACAGATAGTAACTTAAAGCAGTCCAGTTGCAAAACAATAATAGCTTCCACATGCTTGGTGTAGAAAATGGAAATGAAGGTGTCTAATCATTCGACGTAATATCTTGGGTATATGTTTTCTTGGCAGCTATTGAAGAAGGATATAGATACACACCCCTTTATGCATTTTATTACTAGGTGTTGCACAAAGGACTTCTCATGGACTAAGACGTTCTTTCAAAACCACCACCTACCTGCATATGTAACCACTCCGGTGATAAGCCCCGGCTATACTCTCTTGTAGCTTGTGAGCCAAATGCCATGCCAGCCGCTTCAAATGATTGTTGACCAAACTGGAACAAAAGTTTATAACCCATTAAGAGTTAAGATCTTGTAATATAATTAAAGAATTGAAACCTGCTGCTCATTTTCAATGATACGTCATTGTAATTGAAGCAGTATGTGTAAAAGTACTCATGAATCATGACTAACCAATAGAATCTGAAATGAAACGATAAAAATTCAAGTAGCATTCAATTTAATTAGATTACATAGACAATTATTATATAGACTACGGTAGCGATTAAGGACTTACATCTTTAGGAGGAAAGACATCGATGCCAGAGTTCAGTCTTGAATTTACAGCTTCAAGTTTCATAGATAGGAACTGTGACGACCAGAATGTCAGAAATCTCAAATTTAGCCTTAAATTTAGAAATAAAGTTTTCTATTTAAGTAGTCCGCATACCAACATCAAAAAAAGGATTCATACCTCAACTTGGCGTTGTAATGATTGGATATAATTTATAATCTCATCAAGGACCAGTGCTTTCCCAATAACCTAAATTCAAGCGAGCATCATTACTTAAAACGTAATACAAAACATGGTTCACAATACTGATTATAAGAATATCTTCAGCAGTCTTAGAAACACTCTCATGTTAGCATATATATAGGAATACTAATATTGAAGAATAATTTTAGTTCTTTTCTTTTTCAGTCATCCGATTTATCTATTTTTGTGGTTACTTCAAGTTGAAATTGCGCATGAAGTAAAAACTCAACGATTAGCAAAATCATACCTTATTACAGCCAGGGACCAAATCCTGAAGAATTTTCATCCGCTCGCTTATCTTCTCCCTTCTAGCCTGTCCAACAATTTCCAAAACAGATGAACTTAGTTAAGAACTCTATTGTTTAAAAAGATCAATTAAAGGAAAAGAAGTACATTTATTTAAATTATTAGGCCCAATTAACTTTAATATTAAAACAACACTGAGTACAAGTAAGTTAGTTCATGACAAAATAACTAAAGTACAAGAAGTTTGTTATATGGCAATTGGCAATAAGTAGCATGCTCACTAATTTTTAACGACTAAGCTTAAGGGGCAAAAAATTTAAGAATGGGACCAAGTTATTATTTCACTGAATGGAATAAGTACATAAAACAAGGAAGCAACTGAAAGGGTAGGAATCAATTACTCTTTCTGCTAGACTGTGGCTATCAGTAGCTTGGCCTCTTCTTGCTCGAACATGAATGTAATCTTGCTTAGGAGGCTCAAAAGGAGGTGGCTGATTATTTTGCTCCGCAGGCTTTCCTGAACTGGGTTGTGCTTCAGCTTTGGTGTCTCGACTCTCATTCTTATTCCCTGAAGCTTTAAGCCGTTTTCCTTCACCACCATCATCCTACTCGATTTAAGTTCAGAATTCGTCACTCTTTTATCGAAATTCTCATTACAGATATATTCATTTTTTCCAAAACAGTTCATGAATAGTAGGAAATAGAATACCATGCCATCACTGTCAGTACTGGTGGAGACGGCCTTGGTGGACTCATCCTCGAAATCACGACGCTTCTTATTGTTATTGACTCCATGATCATCATTATTATTACCTCTCTGCTCCGAGCTGGTTTGATCATTACGGGGCACATCTCGATTCGTATGACCCGAAAAATCACTAAACGGTGGCAGCCCCAAATTGTGCCCAAACTGTGGCCTCCTCAACCCCAACCCGACCCCGGAATCTCCGAGACCCGCACCAATGTTCATCGGTGATTGCCAGATATCCGCCAGATTATACGGCGTCGTATTAGGCGCCCCGTTCACAAATGAACCTTCGTTCATCATAGCTCCTGGATCCATCCCCACCAATCTGAATTAATAATTAATAATTAATAATTAATTTTTTGTTGGATACACAGGCGTGGCCCACAAGTTAACTAGTCCAATCCAATATGAACCTTTCTTTGATATTTTTTTTTTCCGATGAAACAAGCAGAAGGTCAAAAAAGTAAATAAATAACTATCTTGTAACGTCTTACACTCCTCACTCCTGGATTTTTGAGTCTTATTTTTGTTTCATTTATATGATGTGGCAATGAATTATGCCCCATCTATTATAATAATAATAATAATAATAATAAGTTGGGATGCAATAATTTTATTTATATATAATTAAAAATTAGAAAATTAAATGTATTCCCAAATCTGTAAATGAAAATATTGAACAGAAACATGTAAGTTTAACAGTAGTTCAATACGTATTGGCGGGTAATGCAAATGCTTAGACGGTAGTTGTCGCCAGAAAATAATTAATTACCATATAATACAAATAACTGAATTCGGTAGGTTAAAAAGTTTTTTAAAGTTTCTTAAAATCAATAAATATGTAAAAATGTATTTTATTTTCTAGAAGTGAGTGATAAAGAAAATGAATAAAAAATAGATAATTAATGATAATATGATATCGTAACATGTAATTAAATTTTCAAATATTCATTATGTGTACCGTATAAATGGGATTATACTTATCTCAAAAGTTATATCTTATAATACAGAGCATCAGAAAGAGTAATATTAATAAGAATATTATAGGTATCATATATCTTATTTTCGAGTGTTATAAATATAGTATTGTACACCTATTGGCAACAGGTCATATGTATTAATGTTAAAAACATAGCAAAATATAATGAAATTAATTTCTTTTTTCAAATTTTAACATTATATCACCTCCTGTCCTAATTATAAAATCTTATTTATAGATTACAAACGAGGTCCTATAATTAGGACAGAAGTTAAGATAAGTTCTTTTACATATTAATTTTTTTGTTAAAAATTACCGATGCTGAAAATTACTTTTCATTTAGCGTGTGCAAGTCTTAAATTATTTGCATTGAAACTACTGATCAGTAGTTCGGGTAATAAAAAAGAGAAATTACAATCAAGTCTTATAAAAAAGATATAATTATCAAAAAATCCTAATAACAATATCAACAGCTTATAATAACAAGTGTTATAATAGAGAATGACAGCCTCTAGAACTTATTTTTCAATTGTTTTTCTTGTTTGGGACCTCATTGTAATTCTTCTTAATAAAAAACCAATCAGGCCGAGCATGAGCCAAAAGCAACAAAACAAGAGTGTGAAGAAGAAGGAGAAGAAGAAAGAAATATCAAACACAGACACATATCTAGCAACAAACAGATCTGATTTATAAAGAAAATGATGAAAATCATACATGAGAAAGAGAAATGAAGTACTTCATCCATATGATCCTTCCTTTGATGATGTCTCCTATTGCCGCCACCGCCGCGGCCGTCGCCTTGATCTCAAACGGCGGACCGGACACTGGAGAGGCTTCGGCTCTATCTGGCGCTTTCTCAAATGCGTGGGAGTTAGGAAGAAGGGAGAGAGAAGAACGTGTTTCCTCAGAAGATGGGCTAGATTTATCCAATATATGCAAGCTGGCATTGAATAAATAATAAAAATAAAAATAATAAAAATAATTAATTAATTAATTAAATAAACAGGGGTAAAGAACAGTGACAATAAAGTAAACAGTTAGGAATCATATACGATAGTGAAAGCAATGGCCCATTTAGACAAGAGCATGTGATGAAGAGCATCAATAAGGTTTGTACAAATTATTTAATAATTAAATATTTATTACTGCAAAATCTGAATATTATTATTTATGTTTGGGGTGTTTAATCGCACTTAAAATTGGTAGATGAAACCATAAAACGACAGCTTGAGTTGGCTTGTCAGAAAGCAGAAAGTGTTGTGTCTTATACTTTTTTAAGTCATTATGATTTTTATTCATTTGGGTAAAATATTAGGTATGATCAATTGCGTGTTATTTATATAGCAAAAGGACCACAATGATACAACTGTATTTTTTGGGGAAAAAAATTGAACACTGAATATTTATTGGATACCTTTTTCTACAGTTTTTTAATTATCTGACGAATTTCAGTGAAATCTATTTTTTTAAAAAAAATTATTACATAAGAAAGATCTGAATAGGTTATCTTTTTCTCTTGAACTAATGTAAAGGAAACTTCTTACAGTAAATTATCTATCGGGATTTAATAATTTTAATGTTAATTTAACTGGGTACCTAAAGCTATTTTTGTCATAAGATTATTTTGATAGTGTTATTACATGGAAGTGCTAGTGTGAACCAATCTATCAATCGATTATAAAAACATGAGTTCAATTAGTGAATTTATTAGTCAAGTGTAACCAGATTTGTTCTACTAATTATCTAATATCTAATATTATTAACTATTTTGTTTTAATAAAAATTAAATTATTTCTCAATCTTTTAATAATTTTAATACCGATTTTATAGCTTTGTTTCATTAATCCTTTTGTGTTTTTTTAAAACAAGATGATATCGCCCAACCCCTGACGAAAGATAAATCCTTCCGAGACGTAAAAATAATAGAAGTGGATTCCCTGAAATAAAGTTTTCATTTTTTTAATCCACAACATCTTTAAAGGCTCAATCATCTACTAAGGACATCAAGCTTTGTTGGTATTTCATTTTAAGTTTTATTTGAGCAAAGTTTTCTAATAATCATTTAAAATTTCATATCACTCACTTTTTTATGTTTTAGCATGGTCGGACTTAAATGGAAATAGCACTGTTAGCTTCTTCTTCTTCTTCTTCAATCAAAAGACTTGATAGCAAGTTAAATGAAACTTCTTCCAGTAAATTATTTCTCAGTTTTTAGTAAATTTGTCACCAGCACCATTAAAAATATTGTTCAAATTGTGCGTCAACTTCAACTATGTTTGTCTGCATCACCTCTAGTTATGTAAGCAAGTGAAAGACGATGAAACAATTCTCAATCATATTCCTTACAAATCAAATTATCTATATAATATACAAAAAGAAACTCTAGATATTTGATATATTTCTCTTTGAATGAGATTTTAATTCCAACGACAACGGTTTTTAGTTATATTATAACTAGAATTCTTCTTTTTTTTCTGATCTAGTTGTTCCACGGCCATGAACCCCAAATCTCAAGTTTGTCTTTGAAGAGTGGGTCTAATTATATTAGTTTTATAATTATTTTTTTTTGTAAATACTAATAGAGAGGGCGTCTTTCCTATTGACTCTTATATTTTAGGCTTTCCCAATTTCGAATAATACAGGATTTTCCTGTATTTCAGTCTCTTTAAATTTCGTATATTCGAGCATTTTATGAAAATGCAGGGATTAAATAAATAAAATTTTAAATATTAAGTTAAAAAATTAATTTTTTAAGGATTAAGAATATAATTGAGTTACTAAACGATTAATTTTGACTTTTTGCCAATTTAATTAAATATTTAAAGATAATTATAAAATTGCGCAATTAATATATATATATATATATATATATATATATAGTGAAAATGACTCACTCTATTATAAGCTGATGCATTTTCTTTTTAATATAACTGTCTAATCTTTTTAAATTATTTTATCAATCAAATGCAAACTTAAATAGGGATAATTATCTTATTATAAATAATTCTTTTGTCGCTGAAAAAATAATTAATTTTTCTTGAAAACATATTGGGTCTTTTCTCCTCAACCTAATAATAATATATTGGTGAAAGTAACTCTTTAAATAAAATACTTTAACTTTCCTTATATTTTGTCCTAATTATACAGATACCGATTCTATTTTAAAAATATACACTTAAATCTAAATCGTTAACTCCATTAAGAATATTCTAAAAAGATTATTTTTTTAAATTAAAATTTATGTTGAATTATCTTTTGTTTATTGATTTATCTTTCATAATATTAAATCCCTAAATTTTGGCTAAAACTATTTTTAAAAATTTAAAATTTTTTACTTTACTTTAATTTTATTTTTTATTTTTATAAATAGTCATTTGTTTAATTTTTTTTATCATATTGGATGAAAAATTAAGTAATTTAGTTAATATAATAAAAAAATTGATTAGTTTTTTAAATAAATATATAATTGATCGAATAAGTTATAAATATTTGCAACAAAATTTATGTTTAAAAATTTTAAATTTTAAATTTAAATTATTTATATAATATCCCAAACTCATATAATTTATATTATATGATTAACAAATTTGTATTTAAAATATTTTCTAGCCCTAAAATAAACAAGTTTCAACATATCATGAAGAATTAAAATTATATAATTCTATAATATAATCACAATTTATAAATTTTATAACATATTAAGAAGTTTGAAAATACATGTATTATAATTATTTTTGTTTTATCAAAAATTATTTTTTTGACATATATAAATGTTTAAATAATGTTTATACTCAGGACGGATATTTTGGTCAAAATAAATATTTGAAAGTCAAACTTAACAGTCAACTAATGATTAGTTAGATGAAAATGAAATCTAAAATATATAAATGAAGTTTGTGTAGTATATATTTTAATTTCTATGTAGGTTTATATATATTTTCAAAACAGAAGGGACTATAATTTACTTTTTTTTTTGGGAATTATACTAGCTGCTTCGTTCCCACTTTCGTACATTAAATCGTAATTAATTTTTTTCTGAAACCACATAATTATTTGGGGTACATTAATAAGCAACAACTTATTTAAATCATTTACAGCAATCACACGTTCATATTAATTAGATGGATGGATGACCGATGACGTTTTCTGGTATCCTGTTTGATGATTTATTTTCAGCATCAACATAAAGTTGTTATCCTCTTGTCCTATTTATAATTAATTTTCAAGATGCTTCAGAGAACAAATTTTAAACTTTATTAATTTTACACTAAAATTTAACAATTTTTCAAATTTATTCTATTAATATACATTCATAAAAATAAAGTTAACATAATAATAAATAAAAGATAAAATTGTATATGAATATAAAAAATTTCTCTCTACCTTATAAATAGGACCTAAATTCCTCCTCTTTATCCAATAAAATGGGCCCAGGAGGAGTACTATTACTTAAAAGTTAAAACAGTTAAGTAATAAAAAAAAGAACCAAACAATTCGGTTTGATTAACTACTTAAAGAGACTTCTAATACTACTATTATACAAACATAACGAGGGAAGAGTGAAGGTGATTGCCTTTATCACAAGGAGGCATTTTTTATCCAATTATTTAGCATTACGTATTATTAATTAATTTAGGTGTGAGAATTGTTGAGCCTAAATAAGAATAAGTATTCTAGCTATTATGATTTTTTCTGTCTATAATGTAAAACGGCCACTACTCAATCAAAAACACAATGGCTTTTAAAGATTATTGGACGCTGAGTTGAGAAACAAAGGATGCCATTCTAGCTATTAGAATCTGGGGAGAATTAGAAAGAAGGGCTAATAGGGAGTGATATTGATGAGGAAGGATCATAAAAAGTAAAATTATTTAAAAGAACGAAATATTCTAATATAAGTCTAAAAATACCATATTGTCCCTATCTAAACCTCCTATTTCTCCTATATTCTCTCTTACATTTTATTTTTAAAACTAATACAAATTAATAAATTTTACTGAATTAAACCTTACTTCTCTTAAAGTTTACAACCTGCACAAAAATTAATTAAAAAAAATATGGAGACATTGTTTAGTGACGTGAAAATTAAATTTTTATTTTCTTTATAAAAATTAAAATTTTGGAAAAAATTGAAAATAAAAGTTATATAATTTTATTAAAATTTATATTATTATATGATTTATTATATATATAATTTTTTAAAAAAATTTTGCATAATTAATTTCTTATTTTATAAGAAATTTACGTCAGATTTAGAACAACAAATTCATGTAATGATAAGAAATTTAATGAATTCAGATAGTTATTATAATTTTATAAGACCGCTCCTCAAAATCATTTCACAAAAGCCACCTAATTATATGATATATTAATATAAATAAAATATAAGATAGAAAAAATGAACAAATATAAAAGAAATTGTATTTCACTTAAACGAATTACAACAAGGGGATATATCCCTAAAAATAATTTTTTGTACAATAAACTAATTTTCAATATCTTAAAATTTCCACCTAATATTTTATAATTAATAGATTAAGATAATAAAAAAATATCATTTTCCAAAAAAAAGAAAAATAAAACCTTATTATCATTTGTTTATATTGTGATTTATTATATGATTTATTGAAATTTTATATTGAGAATATTTTTTGGAATACAATTAAGTATTGTCCAATAAAAGCAATCGTGGTTACATATTTCGCATAAAATTATAAAAGATTATCTGAATTTTTTAAATTTCTTAGTATTGTATGAATTTTTTTATTTCTAAATCTAATATAAATTTCTTATAAAATAAAAAAATTCTACAAATTTTCTTTAAATATTTTAAAGTTGTGTATATAATATATTATGTAATAATCTAAGTTT